GTTGCACTCACCTGGGAGGCCACCTTTCTGGGGTGGCCGGCTAGCATTTCTCATTGACCCTTTTGACCCCTGGTCGACCGACCAGGGGGAGTGGCGGGCCGGCCACCTTAGCTGGCCGGCCAGCTTTCTGCTTTTTGTTTTTTTTTTTCTTTTTTTTTTTTGGGGGTTTTGTTTTGTAGATTCAATTTTTTATTCCTGAAAATGTAGATATATGGCTGTAGTTTTGGGTGTTCTGAGCTGTAATTATCCTATAAATTCAGCCTTTCGTTGGCAGTGTTTACTTGTAGTTGGTACATGTTCTGTGTCTCGTTTGGTCCTGCACTTTGGTTGCTTTTTCGCAATGTATTTTATGTTATGTTGGTGCCTTGTGTCACAAATTGAAATTATGTTCTAAAGACTGGAACTTAAAAGATCCTAGAGGTTAATAGAACTTTCTAGATTTTCTTATAACCATGTAGCGGAGAATTGTAGAATTTTGTATACAATTTTCAGCAGTGTTGCATACCCCCAGTGGGGTCGCACCCCAGTGAGGTGGCGAGCCCCCACTAGCCGAAACTCAAAAAAAAATAAATAAATAAATAAAATATTTTTTTTTTTTCATCCAATCACAGCACCTCCCCTCAGTAGGGGTCGAAGCATTTTTCCTAACTCGAATTCCACCACAACCAATTTTCTCAAAACCCTAATCGCCTCGGATCATGTAATTAATCCGAATTCGAATCTGGGTTTTGGTGGATTCGATTTGGAGACCCGAGAGAGCGAGAGAGGGATCATGACTCGGCGGTGTTCGTATTGCAGCCACAATGGCCACAACTCTCGGACCTGCCCGAACCCTGGAGTCAAGCTATTCGGAGTCCGGTTGACTGATGGATCGATCCGGAAGAGTGCCAGTATGGGTAACTTGACCCATTACACCGGATCCAGTAGCGGTAACCTTCAAAATGGCCTCGCCGGAAAAAACCATGACTCTCCCGGAGACACGCCAGACCACGGCGGCGCCGCCGGAGATGGGTATGCGTTGGAGGATTTTGTTCCCGGGTCGTCGTCCAGTCGGGAAAGAAAGAAAGGTTCGAACTTTGTTTGGTTAATTTATGGGTTCAGTGGTTTTAATTTTGAAGTTCTGCATCTACAAAGTTTTATTTTGTTTATCTTTGTTTGGTGATAATTGTGAAGAATCGAATTCGAAATTGAATGAATGAGTCAATACTATTTATTTTTTAGTTGTTTACTAAGAATGAAGGGTTTAAGCAGAGAAATGATGAGTTTATTTGATTTGGGTTGATGGTTTTCTATGTGGATTTGAGTGATTGATGAGATATAATAAAAATTATGAAAAAGAGCTCGTATTTGGTTTACAAATTGAATAAGAAATTATGAGAAATGGAAATAAAGAGAATTTGCTTGTTCAAGCATGATGATTTGTGAGAAAATACCGTCATTTCTTATCTCTTTTTCACTCAAATGAGAGATCACAATGATTTATTTTCTTTTTTCACATAGCTCAAACTAATAATGAACATAAAATTCAGAACTTAGAATTATTTTTTTCATCAATAATTTCTTAGGAACCAACCTTGGATTAGTTACTCAGTTTTGCTCGGATGCATGCTGTGAAGCATAGACAGGGACACGGGACACATATATGACACGGATACGTCATCACAAAATATTGCAAAAACGTAGGAGACCGACGCGGCTTGGACACGCCACAAATAATTATATTTTGATATAATATATTATATTATATAGTTATATATGTGCATAATATTACTTTATACTAAAAGTAAATCTTATATCTAATTCGCTTACATGAATTAGGAAACATATATAATTGCAACATTTCTCTCATCCTCTTAAGCCATCTATTTATATATATATATATATATATTTTTAAAGAATTATACATTCCGTTATTATTAACAATCCTACATTGTTTTTAAGAATATAAAATATGTACGTCAAATTCTCAAATTTTGAAAATCATGCGTTAGCAAATGTCGAAGTGCTGGTCTCGTGTTTAAATTTTTAGTGATAGACATGGCCAAGAAGTGACGGGCACGTTGTAAATTGAGTGTCGGACACGTGTTCGAAAGTAATATTTTTAATTTTAATTAAGGACACGTAAAAAAGAGTATCAAACATGTGTCCGAGAGTGTCGGTGTCCAACATGGACATATCGCTTTCTTAGAAGTGGTC